ATAAAGTAAAAATAAAAAAATAAAAAAATAAACTATAAATAATTATATTCAAAATAGTAAAGTTTTATAACCAAGTTAAGAGAAAAAAGTACAATATTATATATTATATAATTAGAACTATTATTATAAAAAAGTATAAGATTGAGTATTAGAAATATAAATAACTAGAAGCAAGAATTAAGAACAATAGAATACTTACTTCTAAAAACTAGAATAATTTAAAAATAGCTCTAAAACTCAGACTAATTTTTTCTATAATATCTATTAAGCTTTTTACTTTAGATTTATAATTATAAAATATAGCTTTTAGATAAATTCTGCTTAAAACTAGTTCTAATTTTTTTAATATATATTAATGATCAATCAAATTTAGAAGATTAATTAGAAATTTAAGCTTTATTTACTATTATAAGTAAAAAATAAGTAACTATATTAAAATTAAAGTTTATAATTAAATAATTAAAAATAGAAGTTTATAAATAGTAAAAACAAATGTTCAAGTTGTAATTATTTATAGTCTAAAAAATATATATACAGTATATAAGGTTTTAATTTTTTATTAATAAAGTTTTCTAAACTTTAATAATTTAAAAATAAAGAAAAATATTAGAATTGAATTTTTAAGTATCTTATAATCAAAGTAATCTGCTAATAAATTTATTAAAGATAGATTTACTATATATCTTATTATATAAAATATTAAAATTATATACTATTATATAACTATAAAATAATATATATAGATATTATTTTAAATTTAACTTTTTTAAAAATAGCATATTTGGTTTAAATTAATATATATATATATCTTAAAATAATATATACTTACTAATAATAAAACAATTCATATAATAAATTAGTTAGTTTATCATAAAGTATTTTAATTAGTTAGTTATAGAGACTAAACTTCTAAAAACTTATAACTCATGAGTTAAATTCTGAAAAATTTAAATTAGCTTAAATTATATGATTGAATTATTTTTTCAAATTAAGGTTTGAATAATTCAAGTTAAATAAATTAAAAATTTATTAAATATTCTTATAAAGCTGAATAAACTATATTTTAAATTACAAATATAATAGGAGTTTAAAAATTAAAAAACAGATATCTATTTTAAAAGAAATAAAAGATTGTTTTTAAAATAAGAAATTATTTATATTAATTTGTAATTATATTATTATATTTATCAAGAGAATTTTAATAATTATTAGATTATATAAGCAAAAAAAGTTTAAATAAAGACTATTTTATTTTTTTATTTCAAAATTTTAATTTAAAATACAAATATAATTTTTCAAAACTCTTTGAAATATGCTAATTTTAAAACCTCTAATATTGCTATATATAATTATTATATTAGTAATTTAACTCATAAGTAAATTATGAGTTTCAAATTTATAATTCAAATTGTGATAAGGCTACTTTTAATTGAATTTTTAGTTAATATTACTTTTAGAACTCCTGGAGTAATAAAATAAAATAAACATATAGAATGAACAAATTCTGAGTAAATCCACAAATTCTTCAAAATACCTAGCTTTGAAATAATTGCAGAAAAATAGAATTACAATTACTATTTAAAATAAAATAAAGTGTAAAGTTTGCTGATAATAAATCATTCATTTGAGTATTGATTTCTTTGATTCAATTGCTTCTAATTAAAATTCAATATGCATGTGAAAAGTCTAGAATCATCTAATCAGCATTTTTATAAAGTACACTAATTGTCTATTTGACAATCTGGAAATAGCAAGTTTAATTTATGAGTCAGAGACTTTGATATTTTATTTCAGGTGATTATAATTTTGGTTATATTTAAAGTTAGATCAAGATAATAAATTAATTTTACCAACATTTCCGAAAAATTTTATGCATCAGATAGTAATCAATTATGTAACTTAGATAAAGTTTTAGTTAATAAATTAAATATACAGGCAGACAAAATTCCCGACAAAATTGACCAATACTAACTTTGTTGGGATTAAGGCCTTGTTACGGCTATTTAATATTCCTGGAACAACTTATAACATAGTTATTGAAGTCGAGCAAAATCAGTAAACATATATATTCGTCCAAATTAGTTACTCCAGGAATAATGAAAATAGTTAATAGCTTTTGTGATTGTCCAGTCTAGTGATGCCTAACGAAACCCACGTAGTCTGACGAAACCTTATGGTTTCGTCAATTGACGAAATGACGAAACTTATGGTGTCGTCAGGCTTCGTCAGACTCAAACAGTTTCGTAAGACATCATTAGTCCAGTCTTTTACAACATAATGATAGCGAAACGAAAAGAAAACTAATTATCATGCGTTTTTAATTATGAATTACACGTCACCAACCAGATTTTCAAGCTGAGTTCGGTAAATAATAAACACAAAGTCAGGTTTTCCTTTGTCAGCACCCATTAAAATATTTTCAAATTAACGAAACTTTCACTTCTTTTATATTGAAACAAAATAGAGATACTTATTCTAAAAACAAATTTAAAGATAAAGAGCTTTTTATAGTATTAATTCATAAATGCAGTCATCTTTATGATTTTGTACGATGCTTGAGAAGGTAAAGAAAGGGTAGCTCAATCTATTACGTATAATCAGAAACGTTATCTATATATGTTTCAGCATATTTTTTATTACAAAGATAAGCCTTATATTCATCCTTTTCAACTCCAATTCCATGAAGATAACAACAACCAACATTTAGTAATCCTATAGGATGACCCATATCAGCAGATTTTTGATAATAAATAAATCCCTTACGCCAATTCATTTCAACTCCAATTCCGTGAAAGTAATATTCGCCCAAGTTATACATTCCCCAACTATTACCTAGATCAGCAGATTTTTGAAAGTAAATGAATGCTTTATGTCTATCTTTTTCAACACCAACTCCATTATGATAACAATAACCAACATTTAATGTTCCTTCACTATCGCCCATATCAGCAGATTTTTGATAATAAATAAATGCCTTATGTTCATCCTTTTCAACACCAATTCCATTGTAATAACAACGACCAACTTTATTTATTCCATTAACATCCCCCATTTCTGCCAATTTTTGATAATAAACGAATGCCTTATGTTCATCCCTTTCGATACCAATTCCGAATTCATAACAGAAACCAACACAAAATATTCCTGAAGAATGTCCCATATCCGCAGATTTTTGATAATAAATGAATGCCTTATTTTTATCTTCTTTAACTCCAACTCCGTATTCATAACAGACTCCAACATAATAAAATCCTATAGAATGTCCCATATCAGCAGATTTTTGATGATAAATAAATGCCTTATATTCATCCTTTTGAACCCATTTACCTGACCAATAACAACTTGCAAGAATTATTTGAGCCATATGATTATGTTGATTATTCAAGCACCAATTGATAATATTATCTGAATTCTGCTTATTTTTTGACTAGAAATTGATCCCATGTTTTAATAATTGTTTCGAAATTTTTTCCTTTCGAACTTCCTTCATTATATAGATTATACAATTCTGTAACAATATTACTAAAACAATCCAGAGACATATTTTCTTCTAAATTTAATTGATCTATATTAGCAGTTATTTGGATAATATTATCTGATGAAATATAGATTTTTTTCTGGTTGCTCTTCCGTTAGCGTTAGTTTAGTTGACATTGTTGAAAAAATATCTGCACGAAAATATTTGTACTACAATTGTACATTACTATTGTACTTTTCTAAATTTCTGATTTTAACAATTAACATCAGCCACTGACCAAATAGGATGTACGTATAATAACGTGAGAATTATGTAACAGAAGCATAGAAAATTTGATACGTATAATTTTATCGAGTACTCAGCCAACATTTTTCATGAACAGAATAAAGAATGGATTTACCAAATACATCTAGTTAGATTTTTCACAAGTTTATTTCATACCGATACATATCATTATATATGTGAAAATAACGTCTACAAAAATTGAATTCTAATTAACCAGATTCTGATTTGAAAATAAATTTATTTCAATTTACGTCGATTATTAATTGACGCATGTCATTTTTCAATTTTACCGATTGCATTAATGCAGATCATATTATATGTAATCAACGATAGCTTACAACAGTTTTTAATGTAATGACAGAACTTATATTGATACGAACGATGTGAATAAATAAAATTTTAAAAAATGTTTTTTTTAAGAAGTTATTCATTATATTTTATTCTTTCTTCATTAATAATTATACTTCACTTTTTTCTTCGTTAATAATTATACTTCACTTTTTTTCTTCGTAATAATTGTACTATATTTTTTATTTGTTAATGATGAATCCACAAAGTTATTCTTTTCTAACTCGTGAGATCTTCGATCGAATATTTAAAGCTTATACAAATAAAAGGAAAAATAAATGAAGCTTGATGGACAGAACACGATACAATGAATGTCTAAACACTTTAAAAAATCCAGATATTCAGTGTAACTCGATGCTTAAACATTGGGCGATTAATACTTTTAGGTTCTTCGTGTTGGTACTATAGAAGAACTTCACATACATAAACAAGGCAGAATTAATCTTGGAACCCAAGTGTGCGTGGTTGAGAATTTCTACGAAATCATTTGTGGTGCTTATTAAACAACTGAACATGGGGTTAAGAGAAGACCTAGCAAAAGGTATAACAAAAAAAAATATTAAAATTAAAATTGTTGATTTAATAATAGATACATGTTCAGTATTGTTATACAGTAGTGATCATATGTTTGGCATCACCCTAACAGGTAAACTTTGTGATCAAATAATTTCGTTAGTAAATAACAAATAATTATAATTTTTATTTATTTGGTTTATTAAATTTGTGATAATATAAAATTATCTTTTTTTATTCAGTTAATAATTAAAAACTCAAAAAAATAAAATTTTATTCTATTTTTAATGATGCATTTCTTTTGCTTATTTTTTTAAAATGTAAATTTTTGATAATTTACAAAAAAAAAAACAATCTTGATCTATTTTTTTTTAAACTATAGCCTACTATACTGTATAACCCTTATTGCTTTATAAATATCATTTACATATTGAGACACACTTTTAATAAGCTTGTTAATGTATTTCATATCTATTTCAATCCAAACCTTTTGAATTACTTTCCAAAGTTTATCTGAATCAGCAATTTCCACAGATAACTATCTTATTTGCTGATTAATCTCATTTCATATATACTCAATAGGGTTTAGATCTAGTAAATAAGATGGCTACTCAAGTAATTCAATGTTATTATAATAGAACCACATCTTGGTTTCAGTAGTAATATTTTTTTAATTATTATCTTTTGAAAATTAATATTGTTTTTGTTCAATCTATAGATTGTTTCTAAAAGGTTTTTAGTTAATATTTGTTAATACAAATTTTTATTCATTATCTCATAAATTTGTATAATGTTACTAACTCTAGAAAAAGTGAAGCATCTCTATACTATAACACTACCATTTCTATACTTTTTTATAGAGATTATATTTCATTTATTAAATAGTTCATTTGGCTGTTTATAACAAAACTAATATCTGTTAAATCTATATATCTTAAATTTGAACTTGTTAAACCAAATTATATAGTACTAGTTTTTAACTTTCTAACTCTTATATTTTTTAACAAAAATATAGTGAGACTACTAACTTTTTTTGTTTAATATTAGTTTCTTTTGCTTAATTTAAGAGAAAAACCTATTTCTTTATAATATATACTTCACAGTATCTGTGCTTAGTATAATTTTTTTATGAATTTTTATTTAGTTTTGAATTTATACTATATTAGAACATTCACTAGATACAAGCAAACATATGATCTTCTATTTATTTTACTCTGTTAATATTTGTAAATACACTAATTTTAGTAAATCTTTATAGTTCTAGTTCTTCTGCTTTATTGCATATTCTAACTACTGAAAACTAGAAAATATTTTCTTTTTTAGTAATGTAATAGAAAAAAATCTTCTTGAGTAAGACTATAAATTTATACTTGTTTTTTAACAAAAATACAAACCATAATTATATTTATAAAAGAAAGAACTAAAACAATATAAAGTATGAAAACATAGATTCTTTCTAATGATCATCAAAACCAAACTAACAGAATAACAAAAAAATTATTTTTTTTGCATTACTACCTAGTAAAGCAACTTAAAGTATTTGACTACACAAGGAATAAACTACAAAACTGTGATAAGTCAGAAGCAAGAACTGCAACAAGTCAGTTTCAAGGTTGTACTGAGCTTTTTGCTATCTAACTTTAGCAGGGCAACTTTAAGTTTGCTTAGTAAAAAAGTGCTAAAGCTGAAAAGAAGAAGTAAAGAAGGACTCTAACTATACTTATACAAGATCAAGTATATTACTACTCTCTTAGTTCTGTTTTTTTTAAAGAACTGTTCCCTATACCCTCAACAATTCAACTTTTGGACTTGCAATTGTTTTTTTTTGTTTCTTAATAATAAAAAGTAGAAATTTGGCTTATATCTGCCAAAAGATCGATATTTGTACTATCTATTATTATAATATGAATTTTTAGTAGTTAAATTTTAATATTTAAATTCTATTAATTATATTTTATTAGTATAATATTTTACTATTAATTTTAAACTATTTAGACATTTTTTGTATAACAACAAGCCATAGAACACCTTGTGTAACTCTGTGTAACTTTATATAACTCAGTATAACCTACTTGTATCAAACTCTTTAATTCAAACAAAACTGCTTTTTTAGAGTTTGTGTAATGTTAGGTACTGATCTGAAGGACCTCATTTCGAGATTTCTATCTAGGAGTTCCTAACCTAAGGTGCCCAACTTGAGGTTCCCATCTGAGATTCCCATCTGAGGTCCTATTTTAGGTTCCCAACTTAGGTTCCCATAATTAGGTTTCTATTTTAGGTTTCCAATCTAGGTTCCCATAATTAGGTTCTTATTTTAGGTTCTCAACCTAGGTTCCTATAATTAGGTTCCTATTTTAGGTTCTCATCTAGGTTCCCATAATTAGGTTCCCATTTTAGGTTCCCAATTTAGGTTCCCATACCAAGATTCCCAAAATTAGGTTCCCAAACTAGGTTCCTATACCAAAGTTTTCAAGTTTAGGTTCTTATTCTATAATGTCTAAAAAGCTATATAAACCCTGCTATTTCTACTAAGATAGGATAAGTTCAAGTTCCCTTTCTTTTCTTTAATATAAGTTCAAGTTCTCCTCTTTTTCTTTAATATAAGTTAAAGTTCTCTTTCCTTTCTTTTAATATAAATTTCTTGACTTATATTCTTTTTTCTAAAATAATAGTTTCTTTTAGTTTCTAAAAATTATCTTTTAAAACAAATCTTTTTTTTCTTAGTTAGCTTGTAATATTCAACTATTTCTTTGATTATTATTTCTTTAAGTTAGCTTGTAACATCTAACTTCTTCTTTTATTTTTTTATCTTTTTTCTTATATCTTTTATCTTCTATTATTTTATATTTTATCCTATATCTTCTTTGAATATTCTTCTATTTTCTT